CAATGGTGTTTAATTTGTACCATAAAAAGTACGTTTTAATACAAATGGCAAAGTGCTTATATTGGCATTGTGAATAAAAAAAGTTTTTTTTTACTATGCTCGCAACTGTCCTTATAGATTGCATGCACTTACCAAGGTTATTTGCATTTGTGGCGCTGGTTGCATTGCACTTTCATAGAACAAATTATAAGTTGTTTTTCATAAAACTTTTCAGATAGTGCATTATTTAATATATTAGTTTGTGTAAAGTACTGCACTTTACGAACAAATGCTAAACTGTACAGTACGTGGTCTTATCGCACAAATATATTGAAATACACATTAAATTAGATATAATTTTTATGATGTTTGTGTTTTTTGGATGATATGTGCATTTTATTATATTCTCTCTCTCTCTCTCTCTCTCTCTCTCTCTCTTTCTTTCTCTCTCGCCTACAGTCTATGACCGGTAATATTGCAATATTTTGCGGTCTTTGACTAATATTGATATTTGTATTAAAACGTACTTTTTATGGTACAAATTAAACACCATTGCTATATAATAACGATTATCATTTCATAAACATGTCTCTCTCTCTCTCTCTCTCTCTCCTCAATGAGTTTGCTCTCATATCAATTGCCAGATATGCTTACAGTACAGTACAGCACAGAATTGAGCTATTAATCAGTACAGCACACTATAAGTTATATTGACATTAATTAAATAATTAAACTGCTATTTTATTAGAGACACAGTGTCGCGAACACACATTGGCTCAAATATATCAAACCCCATTAATATGAGCTGATATACTGATTACTAACATATAATTTATATTTGTACATCTGACCGAACGCGCACTGTAAGCCACCAAGGTAGTTTTTAAGTTACATGATATCGTACGATAACTTACCACATTCACATAACCCTCTCCAATACCCCCACCTCCTATGTATGGGCGCGTAATTTGTGAACAATTATTCTGTAGCCCAATATATGGTATATGAGTACTGTTGTCCTTTTTATGTTTTTTCAACGCAAACATACAATGCAAACAAATGGCGCAATCGGTAATCATATCATATGAGGGATAATGTGCAAAGGTTAATTGCATGTTTCCGATCACATCGCTGTAAATACGTTGAACTTAAACAATAGGATTTTTATTGCATATATAGTACATACGGTAACAGTTGGACATCAAATTGGGGGTAAAACTGCACCATAAATATAATCTCGGAATTGAGGGGTTCACGATTCTTACTTTAGTGATACATTCTGTGCATTGAATTGTAGCTAAAATATTATTTTAAATTATGATGGTAATATTGTGTTCGATTTTAGTATCCGGGGTATCAATGTAGGCACCATAAACACGCTAGCCACCTAATAGTTTAGGTAAAAAATATTTGGCCACCTTGCATATTTGGTGTTATATGATATAACTTATATCTACATGTTCGGTGAAGTATCTATTAATCAGTTGATTATTGGAACTATTTAGTGCAATTTTCCCAACCGCTTACGCCTAAAATCATAAAAATATATATGGTTATGTGTAATCGTGGTACTTTTTGTGATAGTAGTTCCTGTTATTAAATATGTACAATAGTATTGCTGTATTGTTATATGAGCTAAAAGGAGAGAGAGAGAGAGAGAGAGAGAGAGAGAGAGATGTATAAATGTACATGTTCATTGGTATATTACTGTACTGTACATTCTCGGGCATATATAGTTTTTGTTTTCTAATATACAATAAATTTATAACATGTATTTATACAATGTACTTTTAATATATTCGTGTTCAACCAAGTATAGCGGCTATACTTAGTGTAGCCACATGTTCAATACAAATATCTAACATATCAAATCAAATAACAATCTTGAAAACTTATTTCAAACGTCGGAAATTATTTCATTCTACTCTCAACTTAATATTGAAAAATTCCCATTATTAATAAATAATGCATTAGAAATTCTAACATATTTTGGATCTACTTTTAATTGTGAACAATTTTTTTCCTTAATGAAATCGATTAAAAATGACAAAACTGGTAAAATTTGCGCAAAAACATTGCGATCACGTTTGAAAATATGGTCATCGAATATGATTGAGTCAAATATTAATAAAGTTGTCGATAATCGCAAACGCTATAATAAATCTCATTAAAATGTGTGTTTAATAATTAAATTTTGTTTTAAATGACATTTTGTGGATAGACTGAAAGCCAACCACTATAAAAATGGGTGAGAAACTATTCGGTTGACCTTCACGCGGTGTTTCTTGTTTAATANGCAATGATAAGTCTATGGGTAATGCTAAGTTTATGACAATGATAAGTCTATGGGATAATGCTTTTCTATGGAGATATACTAAATGAATCTGACATAATAAATAAAGCTAATTGTTGTCAAAAACATTTAAAATTCTTAAAATAACAATAGTAAAAGCATTCTAACAAAAGTATTGAAAAATTTTAAATCTTTGATGCATTTCCCGAATTGTGGTTAACGCATAGCATCGCGTGTGATCCTTGTTTTCTATTAATAAATGCTTTTTATTACATTTAGTTTATTATTTTCATTGAACTTATATTTTAATCAAATATTTGCTTTTCTTGCCCCGTATAATAAACACTGTATTAGTTTGTATTAAAATAAGCGTGTTCAACTGGGTTTTAGTATATCACAAATACAGATTCACAGTATGCCATAAAAAGGTGGCGCAACGGGCAGTAAAAAAGTTTAGGTTTGTCAGTATTAAACAAGAAACACCGCGTGAAGGTCAACCGAATAGTTTCTCACCCATTTTTATAGTGGTTGGCTTTCAGTCTATCCACAAAATGTCATTTAAAACAAAATTTAATTATTAAACACACATTTTAATGAGATTTATTATAGGCAAACGCTAATAGCTGTTGAAATAATTATAAACTGAGTTAGTATAAGCTACTGGTATAAAAGTTTGCACTAGCGTTACAAAAACGCGTTTAAAATGGTCAAAACAGTAAAAATTAGCTAAAGTAATAGGAAAAAAATTGTTCACAATTAAAAGTAGATCCAAAATATGTTAGAATTTCTAATGCATTATTTATTAATAATGGGAATTTTTCAATATTAAGTTGAGAGTAGAATGAAATAATTTCCGACGTTTGAAATAAGTTTTCAAGATTGTTATTTGATTTGATATGTTAGATATTTGTATTGAACATGTGGCTACACTAAGTATAGCCGCTATACTTGGTTGAACACGAATAGTTTAGGATAATGATGAGATGTTTAGTAGTATGCAATAGTATTTTGCTCCTTCAATGGTTCTTACAATTCGCAGTCGTAAGGATACAATTCATAGCTACGAATTTGTAAGCAAAAACGGGGTCTAGCCTAGTATTGTAATAAATAGGAAATGAATTTTTATAGATAATATTGTTTTAGATTACGAAACACAGAAATATAGTGTATAACTTATATTATATAATATTTAAAGTAATTTGTGAAATAGTCTACACTTTAGAGTTTGTATTAGTATTGAACAATTACAATGACTTTATTAGTAAACAGTAAAATAAATTGTGTTAAAATTTACAAATTTATGTCGCATTTCAATTCTTTAAATGGGTTTATTAAAATTATGCTAAATATGTAAAATTTAATATTTAAACAGTTCAATTTCATTTATTATAATGTTTTTATGTGAATATTCTTTACTTTACTAAATATTATATAACATTTATATTAAAATTATATCAAATATTTTTAATGTCGTAAATATTGTAAACAGACTTCAAGTCAGAGTCATAATCCGCAAAAATAATTTATACATAAAATTGTAGATAGCTTGGTTTTATAACTTTTTTAGAATCAATTTATAATTTCATGTAATTTTATTATATATAATTTTTGCCGATTATAACTCTGATTTGAAGTCTGATTGTATGTAATAAATATTATGCTGTATTTAGGCAAAAGTTAATCAATTAACCAATTTTGACCATTATCATTTTAGTTACAGTATTTTACCAGTTACTGTAATTTTGAATTAATCCTAAACTTCATGGTTAATAACTTATCAATAATAAGACAATAAAAAATTATAAAAGTTTTAGCCCAAGGTGATTTTGATTTTGATTATAAAGTAATGGACGCTTGTAGTTAAGGTGACCAACCGTTATGGTTTCACCAGACAGTCCCGGTTCTGGACATTTTGTCCCGGCGAGAGTAGAACCATAGGGTGGACCATGGAAAGTCCTGGTCCAATTTTTCTATTTTAAAATTAATTTCTTTGAAAATCTGCAAATAAACAAATATAATTGCGATTTAAGCGTTTGACTTTAAATGTGTTATTTTTGTCAATTCTTTTGAAATAAAAATTAGTTCAAAGATATTTTACATTGTATTTTTACTAAAAATGATTGTAAAATGTTTAAACTGGGACATCTTTGGAATTTTTAAATGTATATGCAATTTTGGCGAAAAATCCCGGTATTCAAAATTTAGAGTTGGTCAGTCTACGTCTATAAATCGACGTTAAAATATCTTAAGGTAATTATTGAGTTACAATATAAGCCCATTTCAATAATTTACTGCATTATAGATTAAAATAGTTGGATTAATAATAATGTATGGAAATATTGTGTAATAATAATTATATTTTTAATTAGCAATTAAGTAAACCACACAGAATAACCAAGCTCATTCATGCTATAGGCAATCCGACATCACAGAATCATACCCGACTATGAAATACGTCCATTACATCATACACTACAGTATATCCAATGTGCGGTTGTTTAGCAAATTATACCCAATTTTCCCAAATTGGAATCGTATAAGATTTAGGTCGAGTAAGCTAACAAAAGTCGGATAGCATAAATAAGCTTGGTTATTTTATAAATGTTATGAAAACTTTTAATCAATAATTCCTTCACAAAGTTGTCAAAAATTGTAGAATAAAAGAAACCCAAAATCATTGTTGCGTTAGTTTTGTGTGACATTAAACTTAATGAGAAGATTAGATTCAGTCGTCGTCGTCATCTTTTTTGGGACTCTTTTCGAAATACATTAAATCCTAATATTAAACAAAGTATTAATTAAATGGCATATTATTTTCAATATAAATACTAACAATCATAATACAAGTGCTCAATAAGATTGCCTTTTCATTCAAATCAATATTTTTGGGAAAATTGACACAAAAATTGTCGGCATAAGTGAGGGCTTCCTTTGCCAGACCCGACCATTTCTTAGCAATAGTACCGCACTCTTCATCCGTCGAGTAATTGTTGATCGAAAATGTAGTTCCCGTACAACAACACCGACAACTCTGACAGTTGGGTCCATTCACAGAATATATTGGATCCGAATTAGAGAGTGAATATACCATAAGTTGTTTGTGGAAACAATTACACGACTCTTCAATACTTCCGATCTTACTATCGGTCGGAGAAAATACTTGAAGTTTCT